CCTCCCTTCCCGCCCCTCACCCTGACCATTTCCCCCCTGCTCGGGTCCTGACCCAACTGTACAGCGCCTTGGGACGTCCTCCCGACGTGAAAGGCGCTCTATAAATGGAATCTTGTTGTTGTTGTTGCCTGGAATTGAACTCAGGTCTCTCACTTGCAAAGCGAGTGCTCTAACCACTGAGCTACAGGACTCCATCTTCAATGATACCTGCACACTATAGACCTTAGGAAATCCCACTAACAGGACTTCACTTCTCGTTGTTCTGCTTTCTTTGCAAAATGGGTAAAGAATATTGTTATGGTCATGAGTAATAAGTGGAAAATAGGTTACATGCCCACCCTTTTCTGTGCATTCATACCAGATTTAAAACTCATTCACGTATTACTTTTTATCTATAATAGAGCTCAATCTTTCTACTCCAAGTTCACTTCTTGCTTCTGACTCTTCCCAAAGCTTCTTATCTCTTCTCTCAAAAGCATTCCTGCCAATGTAATCCCCCCCTTACAGCAGAGAAGTAAAGTATGTATATTATATACAGGTATTCAGAACTCAAAAAAGGCTAAAATATCTGCCTCTCAATAGCATTCCCTGAATTGCTGTTACTGTGAATGCAGGATGGAGCTCTACGATTTCATGTTTCTTGGAGGAGTATTATAGCAAATGCCTGAGGCAGTGCTGGCACCTACAAATACCAGGCTCCATTCTGAAAATATATCACCATAACACTCCTATTCACAATTAATAGAGCCAAACGTCAGGCCACTCCAAATGTATTAATTTGGAAGTATTTTTAAGATTCAATGTCTATTAAACTGCAACCAAAGGCTTCTTTAGAACAAAATCACAGCTTCACAAATGTTTGTTGTTGTTCAAATTATTTGACACAGTTCTCTGATTACACAAGTCACTTTTCAGACACAATAATGAACTTTTTAAAATATTTTGTAAAAGTCTGAAGGATCTATTAAGATTTCAAGTGTCCCATTTTGAGTTTGAATCCTCATCTCCACGAATAATCCTAACCTCAACAGATAAATAAATGATTATTGTCATCTCAGAGACAAAAACACTTGACAATATAAATAAATCCCTTTCCTTATGATCTTATGAAATGCTCCCCGCACACAATCGTGGTTTTGAGGTCAGTCTCGGGTCTTCGTAGGCGGAATCACGATCCCAAGACCATTGTAATGAACATGCTATAACAACAAATTGCATTTACGTAGCGCCTTTCATGTCGGGAGGGGATCCCAAGGCTCTGGACAATTGTGGATTTGTACCAGAGCTGGGAGTTGGATTCAGGAAACTTGGGGGCCAAGGAGGGTGGGAGATGGAGTGGGGAGGGAAGATGAATGTAGAGGCAGTCAAAGAGGAAAATCTTGAAACAGATCTTGAAGTGGTAAGACGAAGGAACTCCACGATGGAGTTGCAGACAGTTGGGGCAGAAAAACTGAAGGCCCAACCACTGAATGTGAGCAGGCACGTGGGAGGAGTGAAGCAGGTTGGTGCCTGCTGAGCAAAGGAAGCGGACCGTTTGGTAAGGTTTTTGAAGGTCACAGAGGGAGGGTGGGGCAAGATCATGGAGGAATTTAAAAGTGAGGAGGATTTTGAACTCAATCCTTTGCGGGATGGGGAGCCAGTACAGCCAGGATGGGGGTGATCGGCTGATGGAGCCTAGTGCAGGAAAGAATTCGCAAAGCTCTGGATAATCTGCAGTTTGTGGAGGAAAGCGTTGATAGGCTCAGAGAGCAGAGTTAGGGTAGTCAAGCCTGAACGTGATAAAAGCATGAATATAGGTCGAGACAGCCCGAGGGGAGAGGTAGTGTGGATGTGGGCAATGTTGTGGAGGTGGTGGAAGGCTGAACAGGTCAGAGCACAGGATTTCAAGCGTAGTCGAGAGTCAAACAAGGCACTGAGGTTCCACACTGGCTCCATGAGGTGGAGTGTGTATTGATATAGATTGATGTTGTCAGAGCCTGAAGCATTAAGGCGCTGACAGGAGCAGGAGAAAGCTCTCATCCAGGACTTGATTCTGACAGGCAATCGGTCAGATCAACAGTGGACCTGGAATCAAGGGTGGAGGCGGAGAGACAGAGTTGGAAGTCATAATCAAACAAAAAAAAACTCCAAGATTAGACAAAATGATTAGGTGGAGAGGTAGAGGGTAAGCAGGGAGAGAACCTTGTATGAGGAAACTGAACTTTCAAAGATTGAGGAAGAACATACTGAGGCTATGTAATCTACCACTCTTCCTCATTTCTTTCAAACTCCATCACAAATGCGTGCAACAGAAAAGAGTAAAACAGAAATTAATGGAGATTTATGAATTGCTGCACTTGCTTTTCAAGCAAAATGAATGCGCATGGCAAAACAAAGTACTTTCCAGTTTACTGTTTTACAGAGAATCTAAAGAAGAAACCTGAATAATATTGGCAAAGCAGCCAATGCTGAGTAGATTAATTGATCTTGATGGGTCCTGATTTGCATGGGAGTTACACGCCACTACCCAGTTTAGTTTGTTTATTTTAGAAATTGTTAAATCAATCAGCTGCCTAGATTAAAGTGCCTTCAGCCTATGGTTTAATAAATTTAGTATCTTATGTGCATCAACTAAGCAATTTTTGTAAACAGAAAAATTGTGAGGTGGAGGATATACCTTTAGCACCTTAATTTATTATGACTAGTGAAACAATCCTTGCAAAAGAAATTGGAAACTGCAAACTGCCGCACCCCCATTCTGGAATAAAAGATCTAGCAATATTGTGTACAAAGCAATAGACATTTGAAACAAGACTTAGGGCTACTAAAGTAGGTCTCATTGTGCCTAAAATTATTGGCCAGGACACCAACAGAAACTTCTCAGCTAACTTCTCTTTTCAAATCATTTTATGGGTTTCTTCGGGCAGGAGGATAGAGAAGGGTCACGAGAAATGACTAGTTTGTGATTATGAAATGTCAAGCAGATTCATAATAGCTTCTTTTCTGCAATGTTAGCTCCACAATCCCAAACATTTTCATCCATGTTCCCCAGATAAATCCTTACCACTTTACAAAGGAAGTCTTGGTCCTGAGGTTTCTGATAGTGGAGAAGGCCGCAATTGCTTTTTGAGCAAGATTTCTACTACTTGACCACAACAAAGATTTGCATTTATATATAGCCTGTCACATAGTGTCACGTCTCAGACCACACAGCCAAATGTGCCTCACAAACTTCTTTCTGAAGTTCTAATAATAATAATAATCCTTGCACTTGATATAGCGCTTTTCACGTCGGGAGGATGTCCCAAAGCGCTTCACAGAACACACTGTAAAGTGAATTGACTGTATATTTGTGGGCGAACGCGGCAGCCAATTGTGCACAGCAATGTCCACAAACAGTCGTAGATTGAAAATGAACAATTTATTATTGTTTTATTTTGGAGGGATTATTATTAGGCGTGTGGAGTAAGGAAACTCGCCCAAGGTTTCGCCCTCTGCCTGGAATTGAACTCAGGTCTCTCGCTTGCAAAGCGAGCGCTCTAACCACTGACCTACAGGATTTAGCACCTCATCGCATCTTCAAGACATCTCAAGACTCTTCATAAAATACACGATAAAGTGAATTGACTAAATATTTTGTAGGCGAAAGTATTAATTGGTCCAACTATTCTTTCCCTGACAGAGGTATACCAGATTTACCAACCAGTGAATGAGTTGACTGACATGAAAAGATGGGTGAAGATTGAAATGATAAAATGCTCCAGGTCACACAATGATTTGTGTTGCTATGTCTGGGTTTGAAAGGTGGGGGTAGGAAACTACTGTCCATGGAGATTAAGAAGCCAGGTTTGAATAGTCAAAATATGGAACAAAAAATTTTCTGGACTTATTGCTTGAATTACCTTTGAAGTTCTCTATCTGTGCAGAATGTTCCCCCTGGTGATAAAAGAGTGGGTGCAGTGAAACCCATGATATTGTCTTATGTTAATTTAGAAGAAAATTGGGCTTAAGGGTCAAATAGCCATTTGGACAAAACTTTTTTCTAAAAGGTTTGAAACTTATTGTAGAGATATCTTACTTCCTGTTAACCCTTCCTTCCTGTGGAGAAAGATAGAGGTGTGAATCAACTCACAGAAAGTTATAAAAAAAAATCTGGTGTCGAAAACAAATCTGCTGCAAACAGGGTAAAAACAGCAAGACTCCAACGAAGCTACACACACGAACCAAAATAGGGGAAGGTTATCTGAATACTTAACAGTAGGAATTGGGTACAAGGAAGTGTCCCTACTTCTATGGCAAGATTGACAGAATGTTGAAGGATCTTAAAATCAATTTGAATTAAGTGCTCCCCAATCTGCATTTCAAATAAACATTCTCTTCTCAAATGCTGTTCTTTTATTTTGAGCATCCTATTCTTCACAATTTCTGCACATATATGCATCAAGCAACTGTTTTGATTTTTCTTTCTTCCTCAGTTATTTTGCCAAACAAATCTGATTTTAGACTCTTTAAAACTGCAAGTTTTTTTTATGTTTATAAGCCTGGCTTTTAGTATTATTTAAAACAAAACAGAACAGTACACAATCTTAAACATTAATCAATGAACACAAAATGTATTTAAAATAATAATAAAAATAATAATGCTATTTAATGTACAGAATTAAACTTCTTAATTATGATTATATTGTTAAGCATCCCAAAATCTGGGATGGGTTTAGGTTAAGACCTCAAAGATCTTATGATCTGCTGAAATGCAGATTAATCCACTCACCCAAGATTATATTTGCACTGTAGAAGGGTTAAGTTCTGATACTTTACATTTCACCTGCTTCAAGTTTATTATCAGTTCTAAAGTAAAAAATACCTTGAAAAACATTACCATAATTCTAAACTTCATCCAGATGTAAAAAGTTTTCAGTATGCTCATCATGAAGGAGTATCTCTAAACATTTCTAAAACCAATCATAATCAGAATCCAGCCACACCCCATTTCAGATAATAATAGCACACTGCCCCCCTACCTTTCCTTCCAAGTTAAGCTGTTGCATTTCTTGATCACTATTTCCAATCCCAATAAATGCACATGGCTGTGATTCTTGTTCATTGCAACCATCTCGTTCCATTTGATCTTTCTTTTTCTTCCATCCACTGCCCATTAGGTACACACATGGAGGAGGGCAGAAAAACCTATAACACAAGAGTGCTTTTCAGAACTTTTAATTCACCAACATGGAGCATCAGTCTTAAACCAAGTATCCTATTGTTTATCAGATCATCTCATTGTTTGACTGAGTTATTCATTTAGGTTCTGTCTCCCTTATGATTCCAACAAACATTGTTATTTTAAAATAATGTGATATCTTTCTCACTGTTATCCTGTTTTATATGCTCTTTATTCAAATTTACCTCAAATTCAAGTTAATTCCCAACTTAATTTAATGTTGCTTATGGTGCAGATTAGCTACTACATACAATTTTCACATGAGCACAATTAGACAAGCTAGTGCTCTTTCATCATGAAATACATCTTAAGAGAGGACTTCATATAAAATTTTAATGAGATTGAAATGGTAAACCTAGAACAAAAGTTTAGGATGCATCAAAACAGTAGAACCAGAGGACATAAGTTTAAAGTTGCTAAGGAAAATTTCAGGACAGAAACCAAGAGGTTTTTCTTTACCCAGAGGGTAATTAACGACTGGAACAGGTTGACAAGAAGGGTGGTTGAGGCCAGGACATTGGACTCATTTTTAAAAAAAAGCTCCATGGCGCGATGGGAAGAGGGTGAAATATGTATTCTGGAAGGATGAGGAAAAAAAGGGCCTTCTTCATTCGGACCAAAAGGCATTTCTTCATCCAAACTAATCTTATGACTTCTATTCCATTATAAGTTGCAAAGCATTCTGAGGCACTTACATTGCACCATTTATATGCAAGTTATTATTTACTCCTGCAATTAGAAACAAAATCCCACATTATATTAATATTAAAACTATTTACGTTATAAGGAAGTAATACTAAACCTGTACAGATTATTATTGGTTGGCCCCCAGTTGTATCTAGTTTTGGACATCCCTTTTAGAAGAATGTCAAGGCTAAGGTGAGGATACAGAGAAGATATCCGTGAATATCAAAGTCAAGAGGCTTTAGTGCTAAGGAGAGGCTAGAGCAACGTTTCACAAGAATACAGAAGATTTAGTGGAGAATTACCAAGGAACGAACATCCTGCCATTCACTCCAAAAATGTGGTGACATTTCTTTTTACCAAACATTATAATTTTATCAGGCTACTTGCCTTGAGATTTCCCCCATTTTAGTAACATACAATTTCCATATTAATGACAAAATTCTCCCTGCAACCGCAAGAATATTAATTATTCTAATTCTATTACAAGTTATTGAGACTTAAACAGTATCTGCTTAATCAATACAAAATAGCAATATAAAGGTTATAGGGCATGGGAATAGATAGGCATATTATCGCCACTGGAATCCTGGACTGTATCATTTTAACTTGAAAGATTTATTTATATCCACCCACATAATAAGGTTTATATTAATATTCCAAAGCTTCTCATTTTACTGGTCTGTGGTCAGAAAACAAAGGATGCCAAGGCAAGCTGTTGCTGGTTTCAGATTCTGATCAAATTACACTCGATTCTTAGAACTTAAAACTAGGTTTGTGGTCACAATTTCCTCTAAAGTGAAGTGCAAGACATCACTAAGGTTCCACTTCCATGCACTGAACATGCTTTTGATACAGAGAAGAACTAGATACGTGTGTAATGTACAAATAAGAAACTGACTGGTGTTATATGCAATTATCTTTATCTTCACATTGCTTCACCAAACTTAAATGTCTTAGCGTTTTGATCATAATAATCCTGGCATTCGGTACAGCGCCTTTCACATAAGAACCACATCCCAAAGCATTTCACAGGATATAATGTGAAGTGGAATGACAGTGTATTTGAGACAAACACAGCAACCAATCTGCATGCAACAATGTCCGACAAACAGTGATAACATAAAAGCTATTAACAGACAAGCAAATACTGCAATGATGGATCCTTCCTCGTTCAATAACTAATGAAAACAAATTCTAGCTTTCCATTGCAGTAAGGCATCAATTAGCAATTTATTTGTATAAATACTTTTTTTATTTTTTATAATACATTTACATTTTTAAAAAAATATATTTTTTATTAGTCAGCAAGTTAGATTTTATTTAAAAGCATAGGACTTGTGCATCGTAATAAGAGTCTACAGTGGTAAAAAATATATAATTGTGCACCTATGGTTAGTTCTTCACTGACACTTAATAATCCACACTGCGCTTATAGGATATGAAGCATGTAAGAAAGGTAGAATTATCACTCAGATTCTGGAGTTTTTTTATTTGTACCTGCATTCAGCAATTGCAGTCTCAATTGGCAATCATTGTATGCAATCCGCACATGGTTGTGTGCAAAACAATGAGTTGATTAAGTGCATGTACAATCGACCTGCATGTGAATATGCAGTCTGCGCCAAACACTAAACAGCTTTCAATCACTCCAAACCTTAAAATGATTCCTTGAAAATTTGTATTACCTATAGTATTTCATGGACTGCAATATAGTATACTGGTTGGTAATACAGGTTCTTACTTTGATTAGAAAGTGTAATGGATACATCTTTTCCTCTTCAGTAAACATTGGCAGAATGGGGTATTTAGTATAAGCGCATATAAAGGAAGATGTCACGTTCATAAACACAATTATTCCCCAATAAACCATTTTAAATGAATGCATCAATTTATCGCCTTCTTGCCTTAGAGGACAAAAGTTGAAATTATTGTGGAGTTGCATCACCCTACCATTAGGGCTTGACTTGCAGGGTTAACGGGAGCTCAGTGGGAAGAGTGCCCGCCCTCAGTGACTGGTCTGCCCTTCCAAGTCCTGCTGATGAGCTGGTCTGGCTGACTGTTTGTCAGCAGTGCCCTGGAATACTGTGGCCCTGCCCAGACTACTGAGACAGCTGCAGAGGGTGGACTCGATTCTGACGTTCCATTGCTAAACAAGTCTCGGAGTCAGTTCAGTTAGCCCAAGGTAGTTGATAATTGATGATTTGACATCCAACAAGTGTCAAGATGGATGGCAGGTACCAGCAACTCCCTGCGAGCTTGCCCTGCGGGCAACATAGCTTAGTACGAAATGTGTAAGAGCATTACCACCGTCTTCCTGCCCACAGCTCGGACACACATCCCTTCCCATTGAGCAATAGTTCCACCAGTTGGAAGGGCAGAGTTTAAGCAGCAGCTGCTTATCTCTGCAAACCAATCAAGGTGGACAACTGCCTTCAGCACGGTGGGACCTTTAGAGGATACTTGTGACGTGCCAACCAGCTTGATGTTCTTGAGATCCAAGTCCAATTCCGCATGCCGCATCAGCTGTCTAATCCAGATCCTTACGCGAGGGTCTTTAACAAACAGACAAGTCCACTGTGAAGCTGACTCTGCCTCCAGGTGCTCAGCGACAGGTCAGGCTGGAGCCTTCCCTCCTGCAGCCACTTCCTGTGTTTGCTACAAATCCACTTCACGGTTTGATCCTGGATTTTGCAAATGGGCCGGAGGAAGTCTTTCCGCTGCATCCCCAAGAAATCATATAAATGAAGGAGGACTGTTTGTACACAGGTCTTAAATGCCGCAAACTTGTCCTATTTTGGGATCTTGATATCCTTGAAGAGACGAGCATGACCAGAGTGCTCTTCACCCCTTATCTGTGCAGTCTTTGAACTGTGCAGGCAAAAGTTGGGTGTTCACCACAACCTCCAGGTACTTTTAAGAATCAACACTTAGTGCTCCTCATCACGGCAGAGATGAAATCTACTTACAGCAAATACAGCTGGAAGGAGTAAAGATTGAACTGCAATAATAAATAGTTTCCCCGAACAAATTCCCCAAATTAATTTAGTTTCCAAAGTGACTCAGTCTTATCAGCTTTTAAATACAGGAAGTATGTGAGCACTTTATGCTTCTTGCACAAATTCACAGTTTGTATGTAATTAATATATCGTGGTTTTCATCGGGACTATTACTGTCCTATTTCACTAGCAATTTCACTCTAAGAAATGAATACCTGCATGATTGCTTTCTGTAAACATATATTTGGGTAATCTACTTGCCTTAAAATTATAGTTTTGGACAAGGGGTAGCAAGATAACTGGATTCTCCAAGGGAAGGAGTTGACTCAGGGTTCATGTCACTAATACTGCATTAAGGATGTGAAAGTAGACAGTTAATTGATACAGTAACCTATTTAGAATGCCATAGTGGAAGAAAATAACAGCTCAGCTATATATAGTTTCTGTATTAATTTTCCTTTGTCTTTACAGTCTGTATTTAAAAAACAAAAAAACCCATAGCCCCTGTCACATATCTCAACCACTTCAAAGAAAACTGCATTGCAGTAATTGTTGAAGAGCAGGCTTAAAGATGAAAACTGAATCATTTAGTCCAGCTCAGCATTAGCACTCTCGCCTCCGCATTGCATCATCAGAAGACGGTGGGCTCCATCCCCTAGTTGGGATTTGAAGTCAAGTCAAGTCTGAGCTGACACTCTAATGCAATGCAATGCAGTGCTGGGGAGTTTCTCCCTGTGTCCTGGCCAAAAATCCCCCAAATAAAATGAGTCATTCATGTCAGAGCTGTTTGTGGGACATTGCTGTGCGCAAACTGGCTGTTGTGTTCGCCTACTCCCACTGTTTGGGATGTCCTCCAGGCATGAAAGGTGCTGTATCAAATGCAAGGATTATTATCAACCAATAATTTAAATCACTTGTTTTTATTCACCATAAAGTTGGTTACAAAACACTCCTTGCTCAAATTATTTTGTGTAATTTAAAATTATTATTGTCTTACTATAAGTTGAAGAAAAAACATTCTTTATTTCATCTACTACAGTGGATTTAACTAGATTTCAACTTGATTGTTCTACATTAATTGCAATCTGACATTACATCAATCAGCATGGATTTGTGAAGGGCAGCCGTGTTTGACTAATTTAACAGAGTTTTATGAGGTAGTAACTAAAAGTGTAGACAAATGCAAAGTTGATTATTTGGATTTCCAGATGTTTGATAAGGCGCCGAAGACTAGTAGGGAAACACAGGATGCATGGAAGAGGCGGAAATATAGTGGTTCGGATAAAAAGATTGTTGAAGGATAGGAAGCAACAACAACAAGATTGCATTTATAGAGCGCCTTTCACGTCGGGAGGACGTCCCAAGGCATCTCCTTTCATCGGGTTGGGTCGGGACCCGAGCAGGGGGGAAATGGTCAGGGTGAGGGGAGGGAGGGAGCGAGGAGGGGGTAGAGAGTCGAGAGGGGAGCTGAGAGTAGGGCTAAAAGAATGTTTTCCCGGTTGATGGAAAGTAAGTAGTGGCATGCTGCACGGGGCTGTACTGCGGCTCTTTTTCCATATATATTACTGGCCTCAACTTAGATATTAGGGAGTACGGTATCAAATTTGTGGAAGATACCAAGCTAGATATCATGTTCAATTTAAAAAAAGTAATTTGATCGCTTGATCATCACAACCAACAATAACAATAACTTGCAGTTATATAGCACCCTTCATAAAGGGTAACATCTCCATCTTCCAGGCCTATACAATCTGACATCCTTTTTGTACGTCCTACTTTGAACATGGGAGGAAATACTGGTATTGAACTTCTTAAGGGAAATATACTCTGCATTAGGAATGAAATCATTTTGTTTTCCTTCTAATAACTGTTCTGTTCTCAATGTCTTTTTCTCACTCAGGAATAAAATTCAGGCATATCTTCAATAAGCTTTTGAATAATCTGAACCAATCTGAAACGGAATAAAACAAAACAACCTCTCCTGGCTGAGATGGACTTGGTAAATTGCTCTATGAAGCATTTAACTTCAATGCAATTTTGCATGCAATCTGCAAGATAGTTGGAATAAGAGGTTAGGATTCTGCCCCAAAGCCACCCACAAGTTATGCTCAATGGAAAGAATGTCAACACTCGATCTTACAAGGATCATTACAAGCTCTGGCCACTATTCTACAAAACTCAAAACTTGGTAGTTAAAATTTAGTATCACAGAGAAACAACAGTCTTAAAGCACTAATTTTGCTGCAGGTTAAAAGTTTGTCGTGCTGATGTCTGGGAAAGGTTTGGTTCCATTATCACCACTGGTACCTTTTTCTTGTAGCTTGGATTTTTTATGAATGTTTTTCCAAAGCCACTATAATTAATGCAGATTTGAACCCCGCGGAAGAATATTTTGGCAGATACATCTCCTTACTCGGGTTTCCTGACTCATTTCCTTCCTGCCTGTCTGACCTCATGCTTGTTGTGCATAATCTGACAGGGAGCAGCAGTTTTACCAAATCTGGACTTGAAACAGTTAGCATTCAGCTTCATTTTTTTTTTTTGGGGGGGGGCAGAGAGAGAGAGGAGAAAGGAGAAAAACTAATGATGACCTTTTGTTACAAGAAGCACCTTACCACAATCAATGCAGATTTTTTAATCAAGATCTCAACTTTTTTTTAATACTTCCATCTGAAAGTACTTCACACAATAAGCTACTTTACCACTGAACATTATTAAATAGGCAAATGCAGAAACAATATCCCAAACAGCTAAAAGTTAAATGACCAAATTTAACTATTGTAGCAAATCTAAATATTATGAGCAATAAAGCAGCTCAAACTGTAGCTTAAGAAACTTACCTTTTTTCATTTCCATAGGATTTTTGTGCTACCTTGGCATGTAGAATTAGTACAGTTTGATCACCACGCTCCTTAAGGTAATTTCGCATTGCTTCTCTGCATGATAAAAAGGGGGGAAAAAGCATCAGAACCTTGCAAGACATGAATGGACCCCAGTTATAACACTGTTTGAGATACATTTATAATGAGGTGCGTAAACAGGTTTGACTGCAGCTAACTCACTCTGCACGCACTGGCCAGGTCCTGGAATTCATAATAATAATCCTTCCACTTGATATAGCACCTTATCACGTCTTTGAGACGTCTTAAAGTGATTCACAGAATATACTGTAAAGTGAATTGATTGCACATTTTGTTGGTGCGTGGCATCCAATTGTGCACAGCAATGTTCCAGCAGTGTTCCACAAACAGCCGTGGATTAAGTGGATTAATTTTTTTTGAAGAAATTATTACCTTCGGAAAAGTGATCCGCCAATCAACTAACGACCAGGTTCTTACTTACTGCTAGATAAACCGAAACATGTGGAACAAAGAAACTTGTCCAGCGTTTCGCTCTGCCGGGATTCAAATGCAGGTCTCTCGCTTGCAAGAGGTTATTTAGAGTGTGAGTGCTCTAACCACTGAGCTACAGGACTTCACTTAAAGAAAAATGGACAATGGGTTTCCAAATCATCAGGTCCCTGCCAACAACAATTTGTTTGCTGTATATGCGCAACGCTGGAAGAGACTTTGTGGCGATATAATGACTATAATGTCGCCTTTTTAAAAAAAAAAGCTAAAATAGCTAACTTTCGGATCAATAGGTCACTTCACACATGTGCAGCAAAGCAGGAAGTGATGTTAATGGAGACCTAGTGACCCGGAAGGTAGCTATTTTAGAATGAAAAGCCAGCCAACATGGGAAGCGAGAGAGCTTGCTTTGTGCACACAAAGTGAATAGGGTCCACAGTCTAACTGCTTTATGAGTGAATATACACTATTGTAAAGTTGGTTATAATTGGCTGCACTGTAGTATGTTTGCATGAGCGACATTGTCACCAAGGTTTCAACAACTTACAAACCTGAGTGTGTGAATCACTTGTCACACTATGAAAATTCTGAATACAACTGTTCTACTTTTTTTTAAAATGACACAGTTTTTTCAAAATAAAATCTACCCTCAACAGATCATTGGTCAATATATCATTCTACAGGATATGAAAGAAAAAAATTAAACCAGTGCAGCTGGTCTGTCAGTTTACTTGAATAAATTGATTCATTTGGGTCCATTGATAAGCTTTGAAACACTCTGAAGTGGAATCATGAACATATTTTTAAGGCCCAAATCCATTCAAAAAGTATGAAGACGGTCCACTTTGTACAGATATGCAGATACTTTATGGAGTGCATCAAATATGGACATAAGATAACTTGCTAAATATAGTGTTAAATACCCACTCTGGACTTTTCACACAGCATGCACTGTTGCAGAAAATGTGGATAATTGGCCCATCTGTTAAGTTGATCAGAGCGCCACGTTTAGTCTCGAGTATAGAGTCCCTGCTGCTAAACAACTCAAAGTCATCCTAATAGCCACTTCCAGTGTTTTTACATGCCAACAGCTGCTCAATATTCTGAAGCAACAAGATAGTCTTTGAGTGAATCATAATTAGCGCCATAAATCTTAAGACTAGTCCCAGCTGAATTGAACAGTGTGGCTTATTTCATACACATCTATGAAGTAGAAAGCATCAGATGGTAGATAAATGAATCTTACCTGGTAAGGCGTTTGGGTTGAGGTTGCTCCCCAAACTTCCTGCAAAGCAAAGCAAAGAAACTTGAGTTCTGAATTTCAATTACTAACGTTTCAAATTTTGCCTTTCCCCTTTTTTTCCCCAAATTATGAACAGTACTTTTGGTTGTCGGCCTGGCTCAATTGGTAGCATTCTCACCTGTGAGTCAGCAGGTTGTGGGTTCAAGCCCCATTTCGGGACTCATAGAGTCTAAACTGACACTCCAACACAGCGTTGGGGGAGCGCTGCTTTGTTGGAGGTGCCACCCTTTGGATGATACGTTAAACTGAGGCACCATCTGCCTGATCTGTTGGAAAATACCATGGCACTATTCAAAAATAGAAGGGAGTTTCTCTTGGTGTCCTGACCAACAATCCCCCCAAATAAAAAAATGGTCATTCACTTCTTGGCTGTTTGTGGGCCACTGTTGTGCATAAAATTGACTGACGTGTTTGCCTACAAAATGCATCACTGCCATTTACAGTAAGTCCTGTGAAGTGTTTTCAGACATCATCCTAACGTGAAAGACGCTGTCACAAATATGTTTTACATTGCACGCACCTTGGAGACCAACCAAACCAAAACACCTAATTTTCTGTCAGTTTGCATCTCTCTTCATTTGTCAAAAGTAAAAGCTGTCCATTCTCAGCAAGTACTAAAATAAACCGCATCGCCAAGTCAAATCACTGTATTAGGAGGCTAAAATGAGCAACAAACTAGTTTTACTGCAGTTTAGTTTTGTATCCATGGGTTCCAAATCTATTTTCCACCCCCCCTATTCTTGTTCCTTTGTCAGAGGTGAAACCAGAGTGGATGGATCAGGGCTGAAGGCAGGTCCTGGTGATCGTCACCACCATTAAAGTTGCAACACTTTTTAATAATAAGGCAATTTAGTACTTCCTCTAAGATGTCTATTTCTCTTTCAGACCTTTTTAAGAGGGGACTTTCTTTGCCCTTTTGTTGAATCTCATGCATTACTTTGAATGTTTGCTGATAGTTAGTTTCAGAACTTTTTAGTGAATTACAATTGGGAATCCTGCATCCCAGATTAATATTCTAAGGTAAAATTAACTACTCTGTGATACTTAATACTGAAAAGTCCAGCCACAGGATAAATTAAACCACATAATCACAAGTAATTAACATTGGATCCTTACTGATGAGATCACTTCAATGAAGGTGGTGGATTTAGCAAGACAACAATTTGCATCTCTGAAGCATAAATGTAAGTGTTGTGAATCATTTGATCTCGGGACAAAATAGATCCCTTAAAGCTTTCTTGGAAGTCATTTTACTTGTATTAAAGAGTCACATAAGATTTGAGCAAAAACTTAGTTGTTTATGTCCATTACTTTCCTCGGCCTCAGGAGAGAGCAGATAGAATTAAGTAGAATAAATTATACTCCTTGTTCTAAATTGTTAGTTACACTGCTGGAAGTTGCACTACATGGATTCCAGCAATAGAATTCACCCTCCTCAATCTTTGTCTACTGTCTACTTCAATCCAGTACAGTAAACCGCTCTTATGAAGTGCCTTCCACATAAAAATACTCAAAAGAACTTAATTTGCATTTGTTTTGTAAAATTATGCACAGATTGACATTTTATTTGGATACCAGGCAGGATCGAGGAGGAGCCCAGAATGGGTGCAAACGTGTTAGCTCTTGTGGGAATGTCTCAAGACAGCGAAGAGCAATATCGGAGCTGCAGTTTGGTGATAGTTAGTCCAGCTGTTGCTACGTTGAAAGTGAAAAGACAGGCAGCAACACAAGCCTGAACTCAGACTGCAGGATTAAACCCAACACACAAAATAAACTAAAGAAGCATGACACAGGGTTATTGGGAACCATCCAGTCAAGGAGCTAGAAGTCAAACAGATCCCTTGTGATATCAACTGAATGCCTTGATTTAAGTATTGCCTTTTCTAATCCACTACTATTTCAACTGGTGTGATCAATTCCAGTTAGTGAATAGTACCAGCAAATGTACCAAAATATTTAAGATCCTCAGTGTACTTATCTTTAGGAACAGTACTTTGTAACTTGAATTGCTGTCATTCATAAGGCTGCAAAATAAGTCAGAGGCTGCATAAAAATCTCCTGTCCCAATGTTCCAACAGTATTTACACCAAATCTAATAGAAACCCAGTAGCAGAGAAAGAGATGAAGATTCCTAAAACTGAACATTCACAACTACAGTCTTACTTTTTGACGTGATCCAAACCTACAACAACAAATTACATATGTATAGTGCCTTTCACAACTGGAGGACGTCCCATGGCGCTGGTCAGTTAGGGATCCGCATTCAAGCTGGTGGCTGGGATCAGGAGGGGTGGAGGGCGGGGAGGGTAGGGGTAGGAGGGTGACCGAAGGCACGGTCAAAGGAGTGTCTTGAGATGAGTCTTGAAGAAGTCAAGAGAGGGGGCAAGGAGCAGGGACTGTGGGATGGAGTTCCAGAGGGTGGGGGCAGAGAGGCTGAAGGCCCGCCCGCTAATGGTGGACAGGCAAGGCGGGGGACGTGAAGCAGGCTGGAGCAGAGGGAACTGGTAGCTCAGAAGTAGGGAGCCTCTGAGCTGCCTTGCTCCTCCCTACCTCTGGTAGCTCAGAGGTAGGGAGGAGCAAGGCAGCGTAGGGCTTTGAAGGGAGGACCAGGATCTTGAATGTATCCTCTGAGTAATGGGGAGGCAGTGGAGCTGGGCGAGGATGGGAGTCATTGAGTCGCGGAGCCTGGTGCAGGAGAGGACATGGGCTGCAGAGTGATATACATTCCCTAAAGACCACCAGCAGTGTGGATCAATATGAAACACCTTTCACACTGTACTAATTTTTCTTTTCCTCCTCTCGCCACTGCAAGAAAAACAAAAGAAGCCACTAATTTGTCCTTTTCCTGTCCAATGAGAAAGGCAATGGGAGGGAATAAACTTCAGTTAACCTCAGATGCCGCTAAAGACGGACAAAAGGGCTGGCCCCGAGGTGTCCAGCTTATGCGGCTTCCACTGTATTCAATGAGTTCAAGGCAGTATCTACACCGTAGGAGGAATAGAATTCCTGGGGATGAACAATCACAATTAAAGTGAAAGTTGCATCGAAATTAACAGCAGCGAAAACATGCAAAAATACATATTTTAGAAAAAGTCAAATGAATACAGAAAAAACTAAAATATATCAGATAAACACTTAACGCAATCACGAGTATGCAAATAAATACTCAAGAAAATTAAATGGCACCTAGAAAAGCATTTTCTAAAATAAATGAATAGTTCAAATATAATGGAAATAAATAAAACACACACCTTGGACAAAAAAGGAAAAGGGAAAAGAACTCTGGAGGATAAAGGAATTTCCTAGTACATATTAAAGGGGATATTAAAAGAGCAAAAGTGACCCTAGAGATGAGTAAATTCCAGTTAAAGATGCCAAAGATAGGAAACAATTTCTTCAATATCATACTAGTAAAAGAGCAGTTAGGGAAAGTTGGAACTCTGAATGTAAAGTGAGTGAAGTTAAAGATAAATATTATATATTAATATTTTATAGAAGTATTTACAAAGGATATTTGGTTGCCATCAAATTTCAGCAATACACCCATCATTGTATAATAGTTTGAAGTTAGTTAACATGGGGGCAGGGGGGGGAACATAGTTTACCATATTACCATATTTCATATAATATTTCGTATTACCACTTTACCTGCAGAGATCAGCCCCTTGTGCAGGTAACCAGTTATGAAGAGTTGACAAGTTTGCTAATGCTGCATCTATTTGAAACACTCTGAAAGGTGGATCACCCACTCACTTAAGGATGGTGATGGGATTCTCGAGTGTCAAAAAAAGGACCAAGCTTGGAACAGTAGCTGTCCAGTAAGCTACACAGTAATAACAACCAATATGAATTTAGAAGAGGAAGATCATGCCAAATAAACATCTTGACATTTTGACAATACCTGCATTGTATTATTATTATTGTTGTAGCGAGTTGTAGTATACAACACCACTCCTCAGGAATTCATCGACATTCACAAAGCTTTTGACAAGCTGGACACAAATACTTCTATCCAAACTAAGCCACAAGAATTCAGTGCAGAATTGCAAAAGAATACGAAACCAGGCAAACAATAGGAAACAGAAAGTAGTTAATGGAGGTGCGCTGCATTTCTGGAAATTCTTATTTCTTACGTAACAAAAGTGTGAAATTCCTTGAATCCAGAAAACATATTGAAAGGCTACAAGATACAGTAGGAATTATTAGAGATCTTCATTAATTTAATTTCAGCATCAGCTTAACACAGGCTCGTGTAACATTGGTCACTTAAGAACAGTAACCTGCTGCGTGAGTGACACTGCTTCATCAGTCTCATGTATTAGAGGTTTGAAATACTGTACCTCTGATTATCTGTAAAGCTCTACTTCTTACAATTTGCCAGAAAATAATGGAACTGGCACTTAAAAGGTGCCCTCAAACAACTAGGAGCTTTGTTTTAGAAAGTACGAGCAATTGTTACATGGATAGTTGCTATAATGTTGATGTGCAGCCACTATTTGTGGGAGAATACAAAATTCAAGAAAAGTGTTTTTTAGTGGAGATAACAAGCCAAATTGTAGATATGAAGGCATCATTTTTTTCATTTAAGGATGGTTTATTGTTTTAAGGGCATCCACAGTAATTTATGGTTTAATGATTGCTATGTTTCTTGTTTCAGTACTTAGAAAACCATTGGTCTATGTTGCAATCTCTGGTATATAAGAATTATGGTAGCATGGTTCAAGTCTACACCAATATAAAGCAAAACTAAAAAGAAACTCCAAATATTACAGTATTTGGTACTGATATCACACTGGTGCAGTATCACACTGGTAGAGGCAGAGAGTGCAAGTACAACTTCAGTGGGAGTCTCAGAAGGGAGTGATGCTAAATGCGACAAAAACTGAAAGAAACTTCAGAAGACAGGACTATGAGAGAGATGGCAGACCAAATTTTATACAGAAAAGTGAGAGGTTATACATTTTGGAAGGAAAAAGCAACAC